ATGTATCAAAGTTTATATAAATTAATAAAAAATATAAAATTAAACTAATTAATGATTAAAAACTTTCAAGTATATCCTCATTTATTTTTTTAACCTTAATTAGCTCAAAATATTCAAGTGACTTAACTATGTCATTGTACAATTATATCAATTTAAATATGAAATAATGATAAATTGTTATTAACATTTATTTGTAGAGCTTTCATTCTGGCTTCAAATTGTTATTTCATGATGCCTTTTTTGATGGTATAAAGGTATATTTTATTCTAGAATATTCTCTAAAAATAAAAGGGAACAAAAAAAATAACATTTTACGCAAAAAAAATATGAGGAACTAATTACTCTATTGATCCATAAATAATAAGAGTTTCGATTATTTTATCTCTTTATTGAAATTTATTTTTAATCTTCAAAATTATTAAAATAATCTAGAGTTCTAATTTAAATAGAGTATAAATGATTGAATTCTAAGATAGTTGAATTTCAATTAATAACTCTAGTATTACCTTCTGTGCTATACACTTTAATCACATATCAAGTATTAAAAAGGATTTGAAAATTCCTATGTAATTATCTATTAAGGAGCTGTTGGATAAATTAAATGCTTAGACGTGAACTATTGGTTAAAATAAAAAAAGAGTGTTGATAATAAAAATTTTTATGAACTTTTTGGTAAGGACATCAAACAATCAATTCTTATAGGAATTAATTCATTCATCAATTAATTAATACCTGAGTTTATTTAATCCTTTAATTGCAGATTGATAGTAATTTGTTATAAAAAGAAACATACTTTGATATTGATCAAAAATATATAAACTTAATTTTTCATATAACATGATTTGATTTCCTAATATGAAATTTAATTACTTATATCATAAATTCAAATTCTTTCAAACTCTGTTCATCATTGGATATAAAAATTGCTTTTTTATTTATATAAAAACTTAATTAAAAGTAATAGAAAACCCTTTTTTTTTTTATGTGCTCTTATCATATTACAAAACAAGTATCAATTATATGTATAGCCCCTCATAAGTGTTAATGCTAAAGAAAACTGTGTTCTGAATGCTTTTAAGACCATGGAATGGATGTCAAACAAACAATACCTATTGATAATTTTGGAGAAATTGTTATTAAGAAATTAAAAGAATTTAAATTTAATTCGACAATTGAATTAAGCAAAGAAAAAATGAATTTAAAATCCACTCTCTCTCAAATTGAAATTATGATGAAGAAAATTTTGGAAGATTTAATAGAATAAATTAACTAAATTGACGAAATGATTGAATAGGAAAATAATTATTTCATTAATCTTACCAACGAAAATATGAATTTAGCAGAGTCTTCTGAGGCTGACTTAGAAAAGTTAATTTAAATTTTTGAAAGCAATTCTCTAAATTAATGGTATAATTAGAAAAAAATATAATTGATCAAGTTAGAAGAGATAAAGAAATGGTTGGATTAAGAAGTTAAGGTTTTTAATGAAAAGGTAAGGAAAGAAATGAATCTATTCCATTTAATTGGTTAATCTAATGTTTAATAATAGATTGTTTAAGAAGAGACACAAAAGTTTAAAGTCAAACACT